AAAGATTAATCATGTGGTTTAAGGAAAAGGAATTACCTTCTGCATTTTGGGAGGCTGAATTATATTTCCAGACATTAACACACAACCATAATTTTTTTTAGTTTTTTACCTTCTCCTCCATCTGAAGCATTAACGTGGTATGGAGAGGTAGAGAAACCTAGTTGAGCCAGAGATAAAGTAGGAATGGGGGGAGGGGGAGAGTGGAATGGAACACCAAAATTTGTACAGCTATCAGGAAGCTCCTTAATTGAGCCTAAGATTTTAGAATAAGCAAATAAATTCAGTCCAGAGCACCAAGATAAGAAATATCTATCTTCAACATGAGAGAGTCTATTAATCTCATAGCAGGCCAGAAAGAGAGAAAAGATCAGCATACAGCCCTGCGACCCTAAAGAGAATTATAAGGAAAAGTTAGGCCTGGGAAACTTCAGCTAGAAAATAAATTTGCAAGTTCCAGATACCACCCAGTCTATGAGCAATATTTGTAGACATTTTTAAGTACCTAGCAACCCTAACCTTGTTATTTGTATATAATGCTCCTTTCTTGTGTGAAAATACTCTTCTAGAGTACGTGGTGAAAGGGGTAATACTGGAGAAGAGTGGGTGACAGTAGCACACAAGAGCACAGTAAATTACAACAGATCTCTGAACTCAGGGAAACAAGATAAGATGGTTAAGGAAGTTAACTCAAGGAACCTAAACTGGAGTTTAGAAAGTTTTAGAACAGAGAAGCAAACTCTCTAGTCCAAAGATTCCCTTACTCAGTTCCAAAAAAAAGTTGCTGTAGCCACATACAATCTCCAGATGTAATACGTAAAATGGACTGGGAGACATAAAGGCAAAGATGACCAGTCAGAAAAATACTGTAATAGTCCAGGTAAAAAGTGATAAACCCTTTGACAAGGTTAAAAGGAATAGAAGAAAAGATATTATGAGTTTTTAGGGTAGAACTAACAAGACTTGATGACTGACTGGAAACAGGAAAACAGCAAAGAATGAAAGATGGCTCCATGGTCTAAAATCCTTTGATTCTAGACCTGAATGATATCACTTATGGAAGAGAAGAAATCTGGTTGAAGTATAATGAATTCATATAGTAATAATTTAGAGTTAGAAGAAAACTTAAGATATCATCTAGTCTAATACTTCATTTTGCCAAAAAAGAAAACCAATATCTAGAAAGATCAGACGACACCCCCACAAGTTCATAAGTGTCAGATTCAAGATCTGAACCCTTTGAAAGCAAAACAGCTACATGGAAATACAAAGCATTTCTACAATGCATTTTACGATGTACACCGATAATGAAATATTACAAAGTATCAAACACCACTATATTAAGGGTCACAATTCTGTACAATGTCCACTTCAATTATATAATTATCTGTATTATTCAGCATCTCATAGAGGGAAGGGATATCATAATTCATTAATCTGATTAAATACTTTCATCCCTTTATTTTAAAAATTAGGAAAAAGACTCTGAGGTTGTGACTTACCACGGTCACTCCAAACAGCTTCCTACCCACACCTCTTACACTCAAAAAACAAAAACTAAACCAAACAATAACCATAACAATGGAGGCCAACCAAACATATTGCTGATATTATAAACCTCTCCAAAAAAGAATTTTCCTGAAGTAGATTACATCTTGGTTAATATAATTATCCAGTATTTCAAACTATACATCACATTATTGACTTCGAACAGAGGGGAACAGCCATTTACCTTTAATTTCACAATATTTATTGACCACCTATACTATGACACATCACTGTGCTAATCACTGTAGGAAACATACAAAAATAGAAGAAAATTCAAATTGGAACAGATAAAAAAATGCTGATTAAAAAAGTTAACTCTAAGATCCTATATATGTTTTATATTTTATATTTACTCAAATGGTTTCAAAAATATTTTAAATTACAGCAAAAGATTAATATAATTAAATTAGACCCATCAATGTGTTATAACATTTGCCATCCCTGAAGGTTTTTTACTTAAAATTTGATGGCTAGGTATATGTCTCTTTAGGCAAATGCAAGGATTTATGTTACTACTTGCATACTACACTGGAGATACTAAAGAAGTGAATAAAAAGGTCACTGATTCCACAAGTTCCAAAGCCCAGTTTCAGAAGCTGAACAGTTGGCTGCAGAGCTCAGCTGTGTACAAAGCAGAACACCTGACCTGCACAACAAGGATATCAAAGTTCAAGAGACATGGATGGTAGTAGTAGTAGAGCTTCAAGGGATTATTTTTTCCAGGACTAAGTCCCAAATGTATATCAGAAGTAAACGTAATTAAGATGGAATTAATTGTAGCTCTAAAAAGGGGTAAAATATAGCCCTATCATGCTCTTGAAAAGGGCAATTTTGTTTTCTAGTAGCCTCATAATGTAGATTCCACTAATTTCAAAATTTTAAAATATGCAACATTTTAAAATAGTTTCTGAAACTGATTTATTAAAGAGGAAATAGATGCACAGTTCATGTTACAAATAGTCAAGCTGCTGGGGGGGGGGTAGGGGGAGAGAAAAAGGGGAGGATAAAAATTTCCAAATAGAAATTTCTTTTCAGGTTACAACACAAGAACACAAGAGTCCTGATTCTAAAATTTTTTTAAAAGCACTAAATAGTACATATACAGGTTTCTTTTAAGACAAGGGAAAAGAAACAAATCCAATGACAAAAGAGTTCATATCCGTATTTACTATAAATTATCCCTTAAGGATAAGTATCTTTTGTAGGAAGTACACAAAAACTTTCCACAGAGAAGCCACACTTCCACAAGATGATTAGATTAGGTAGACCTGCAATGAAGAAAATACATTTCAATAGATGGTTTGAAGGCTTACACTAACTTTCCATTGAAATTAATACTTGTAAAGTAAAAGAATACTACCTCTCTGTTAATAAAAAGTTATGAGGAAAAAAATGTATCAAGAGTCAAGTAGATTTTTGGTTAGAACCAAATACTATTCAAAAAGATATTCTTTTTGCCCACATTAAAAAAATAAATAAAGCCAAACTGGCTTCTAAACTTAATAAATGAAAATGCTACTAGATGAAGGCAGCAGAAATAAGCCAAAATTAGTACCTATTTTTGAACAAAATTATAATTAAATGAATTTCATTCTCACTACAATTTAAAAAATTCTTAATCACCAGAGGCTAGGCAACTGAAACGGGCATAAGAATCATATAAATGTCAGAACAGTACGCAAAACTCATTAATGTTTTCAAAAATTCACTTAGAGATAGAAACAGGTCCAAATAGATGCCTGTCTAAATGTACTGCAATTACGTTACAATTATTTTCCAAATACACAGATATGCTCTGTCTTTTCTCAGCTCATTACTGACTCAAACAATTTGCCCTTCTGGGATCAATTGTTTGCTAATAAATAATTGTTTACAGTCACAAAATGATGTTATGAGGTTCTTATTAGTTTTCCTTCTGCACCCTAATAAGATTGAAAACTAGCTGATTCCCAAGAGTCTAACCTTAACCTCGCTTTGTTTAAAAGCCCAGGAAATGATGAACCATCTGCTTCAGAAAATAATGGAGAGCTAAGAGGAAATATTGTTTAATTGTAGATTAACCTCCTCATGAGGCAGAGTGAAGCAGCTTCAGAATTAGCAACTATAAGTAACAAGGAAAACAAATAGCACAGGAGGCTATCTCTTTATTATTTAACGTCTATTAAAAATGTGGGGAAGTTTTCTATATGTTTACATTTCTGTCCAAACAGTGCCACAAAACTCAAATTTCATACAGTTTGCAAAATTCAAACAGGAATATAATCAAAAGCACAGCCATTCTAACTCTGCTCTTCAAAATACCTTTACTATAGCAAATAATTTCATGACCTTTAGATAGCAAACCAAAAAAGCTTTTTTGCCATTTAAATTTCTTGTAATTTTTAAGTAGATATTCGCTTCTTTGTTAATCGAGGCAGCCAAGTGTTTTGCCATCAGCAATGTGACATTTAAAGTCAAATTCTGTTATATACATAATTTCCTATAAGCTGAAAAAGGGAAAGAACGTTGTGAAATCAAAATGGCCAACCACAACAAAAGAATTAGAACAGGTTTTGATTAAGCAAGAACACAGCTTTTACTCAACAAGCCTCAAATTCTATCGCTTTTAAATCATGCCCAATAAAGCACAGAGTGTTTATTTTGCCACTTGCCAGAATAAACTTTACCTGACAGAACTAAAATTTATAAAATTACTAAAAATCAAACTGTAAAATTAACTTCAACAACTATCTGTGGAGCACCTACTACATGCAGCCAGGCCCCCACATTAGGTACTATGGGAAATACAAAGATGCATCACACTGAACTATGTTTCACATATCTAAACTTAATATTTCATACTTAAGTGTTGTTTCCTTTTTTAATCTAATCGAATTATTCCAAATAAAAAGCTTTTCTCCACTGAAATATACGCAGTCTCTAAGACATCATGAAAAGACTAAGGCATTTTTTTGTCAGATTTTCAAAACTAGGAAAATTAACTATTTCAGGAAAGGGAAAATAACCTTTCTGATTTTCAGTAAGCCCTATATTCATTCAATTTCTATAAATATTATAGGGAAATCATCGCTAGAGAGGAAAGATTTAACACTTCACATTCTTAAGTCTCTTAAATAGAAGAACGTACTTAACTAAATTATTCTTGAATTCTTCAACTTAATTTTGCAGCAATGAGCTAAGTATTAACTCCAGAGATTCAAATAATAGTGCCTTTTCAAGAAGAATGAGAGTTTGACATTCTTCTCTACAAAACAACTAGGCACAATTTTATCCATCATACGTCTATCAACCTACGGATATTGAAAGCTTGGGAGAACAAGATAAAATCAACTTCAACCCTACAGTCAGCTGTACTATCTATCAGGCATCAACAACGCTATTCATGAATTTGGAAAAATTAATAAATTCTAGGATGAATGCAAGAAAAGGCTCAAACACAGGTGAAGCATACTCACTTGGGTTTTGTTTCTGCATCTGTCACTTGGCGAATGAAGATACCATCTTCAGGATGTTCGGTGTCATCCATTTCATACATATATGATGATGCTATTGCAAGTGTGGTCCCATCATTACTGAAGGCAAGTGATGCTATGCTAGTGGGATACCGATGGAACTGGCACAATCGTTTCTTATTGAATGGATCCCAAATATTAACAAATCCATCAGATCCACCTGTGAGCAGTTTCAAAATAAATTATTTCTGAATGTCAACCACAGAAATGCTCCTTGTGATCAGTATACTTATTGAATAAAAGTTAATTAACCAAGAAAATATTCCTATCTTCGCTTTTTTGGTCTCAGAATACTTTTCATAATATAAAATGCAAAGAAATGAAATTTAAATATTAAATACTCAATGTTCTATAATTATCAAAAATATTTTTAAAAATGGAAAATTATTTCTTAAGACAACAATAACAGTATTACAAACTATATTTTAATAAGTAACTTACCTGTAGCAAATGTGTTGTGAATGTTGTGAAAGGAAATGGCATTGACAGGATAAATCTGCTCAATATTATTTTCTTTTAGTCTGTGACATTTGAATGCATATTTCTTCTTCTGCACCTCAGGACTTGGGTCCAAGTATTCAACTGCCACTCGGCCTTCAATAGAACTTAACACATAACCCTGCCAATAAGAACAGAGAAAGTGTAAAAAACTAGTTAGTTTACTTAGTGTTATTTTCTGAATCCAACACAAACAAAAGGTAGATATTTAAAGATATAAATGGAATGCTGAGAAAGGCTAGTGATCCAGTTAATGTAATTCCTGAAGTTAAATATCAATGCTTTCTGCTCAAAGCAAAATTAGGTTTCTACATATTTGAGCAGTCATCAGTGCCTTGTACATAGTAAACACAACAACTGTGTTGATTTCTCAGGCAAATATAAATTCTGATTAAGTGCTTTAATAGTACTTCTTTGCGATACTTGGAAAGGCCAGCCAGACTGATACAAAGATTCAAATCTGATAAAGAAAGCATCTTTCAAGCTCAATGCTTCACTTCTGAGAAAACACACACATATTACCAGTCTCAATTAGTAGGAGAATCTTCTTTAGTGGTAATATCACATCAATGCCTATACAAAGAATAAAATTTTGGATATAACAGATTTTCCCAGTGATAACTGTAAAATGGCACTGAGCTCATAGTAGACACTTATTAAATGATACACAGTAGGTGCTAACAAATGCTTGTTCCCTTCTCTTTCCCCATTCCCTTTTCCCTAACAAGGGATCCAGCTCTGTACATAATCAATCAAAATTCCAAACATGGCATGAAATTTAAACTTTTTGTTTAAAACTTAAGAAAGTTGGTCCCATTTTTCAAAATTTTCCCTCTACTTCCTTTTCAAATTAGGAAATATCAAAGATGAAAGAAAAAAGAAGTTTTGCTTTTCAAAATGATCTTTTAAAATATAGTTATATTCTAATCTAAATTAAAGTTTAATGTAAAAATTAAATTTAGTGGATCCGTTTTCCTATTGCTTTCAATTCTAAAACTGGAGATTTTCCTACAGAAAAATCCTGGGTTAAAGGAACAAATACTTAAAAATCAAAAATGATCATTTTCTGATTAAAAAAAGGAAGGCAAACATTATTTGAAGGTACATGGTCTACTCTACCAGTGTATGACACAATACGGGAACTCTAGACTCCATCACCAAAGACACAGTCATGGACCGTTGGTTAAAAAGTCTATCCAAAGATGGCTGGTTTATACTAGCTACTCTTCTTAAAAAAAGTTTCCAATAAGTGGACCAATCTAATTGCCAAAAAAGTTCATCACATTACTAATTCCTCTTAAAACTTTATGGCTACATTTTTAGTTGGCATACATGTAGTTCTAAAGCTAAAGATTTTAAAGTCCCAGACTTCATGAATTAAATGAGCCAATCTTAGAAACAACAATGGAAGGAGGTTGTACCACATAGCAGTAACTGTAGCAATGTTATAAGAAGTATATGTTGGGAAGGAGTAACAGTTTTTGTCTATCCTGTTATCAACCTTTGTTTTTTATCAAAAACTTTTGAAGACTGTACAGGGAAAGTAGTCAAGGCAGTTTCAGTGCAAAAGTAGTCTAAGATGGCAAGATCGTGCAAAATTCCAACAAATCAAAATTCCAAGTTTCAATCTGAGTTCTGACTCATAAATTCTAATAAAATAAAACCAAATACCTGAGTTGCAGCTCAAATATTATAGAAATTTCACTATTAGGTACACTCAAATTTTAAGTGTTTAAGCAATGTATTTGCTTTAAAATGTTATTTTAAAAGAGAATGCACATATTTTTAATATTTAATGACATTTAAAAAATCAGTACCTGCTTATTTGGAAACGCTCGTATGCAACGAGTCTGGTATTTCAGACTAGACTCTCTTCTCTGCTGCACATAGCCCATATTCCTCAAGTCCCATACCAGCACTCTCCGACCAGCTGTCCCCACAATTAATCTGTCTCCAGACACAGAGAGCGTGTAAACCTTTTAAAGGATATCAAAAATTACTACAAATGCTGTTATTTTGCACATGATATTTTTATCCCAAAGCTAAACACGTTTAATCGGAGTGTTAAAAATCAGCTGACCAGGCCCCAAATTTTGAAAGAATTGAGGCAAAGTGCTTTCAGTCAGTTATGAAACACATCATACATACAACAGTTCTTGGCTTTTCAAAGCAAGTAATTCTCATAAAATAGCATATCTTTATTGTAATCTTATAAAGTATATATAATATGCTCTTGCCAAGCAAGTACCATTTACTAAAACCAAATCACTTAAAATTAAAACTAATTGATCTAACATTGCCTTCCCAAAAAATCCTTCACATCCAGATTATTCTACACATAAAAACAGAAAGTTATGCAAGCTAATATCCCAGGAAAGATAGTTTAAAAAAAAAACATTAATTCAGGCTCAGAAATGCCTCATGATGGCTTGAATTTTTTTTAAGGAACCAGAAGTTTTTCTATGAACTTTTCTTTGGATCTGAAATTTTCTTCCACAAAGTTACTAAAAACCTGGACTTCCCAAGCTATCCACCTTAATTAAGATGGTTTTGTATATGTTTTATTTCCTAAAAGCAAATATGTAGCACATTTTAAAATATTATACGAAAGTCAAACATCAAACAGAAATAAATAATTCTGTAAAATCAAATTATTTTTAAATACAGAATTCAGCCACTTAGCTGTTCTTTCCAAAAACTCACTTCACAGGTCAATACAGTTTAATATGACAACTGTTTGAACCTTCAGTATTTATAATTTTAAAAAGGAACCAAAAAATCATGGATATTTCTGGATACTCCATGTTCAAAATTACTTGGTAATAACTTGTCAATGAATCAGCCATATGTAACAAGCTATGTTCAACAATTCAGTGGTCCTCTAAAATGGCATCTTAATATTTGTACCTCGGTCAAAATAGCTGAAGCAGTTATATGATTTAAAAATTTTAAAATTAAAAAGCTGAACTATGAGGTTTTCATATTTCCTTAGTAAAAGAAATTTACCATAGACTTATCAATAGAAAATTAAAACAAAAAAGTTATACATATAACAGAACATCTAGTAAGTTCTGTGAAATATCAAAGTTTATGAATCCAGAATCCAGTAAGAGCTCAATTTATAACGGTAAAATCTTATCAGGAATCTTATCTTAAATCTTTACTACACAGGTGACATACATTTCTAACTATGTTTCCTATCCCCAGTGATCATAAATCAAGTGAAACCACTGTCATACTATTGAATAGGTGTATACATTTATCAAAGAAAGTATTAAAAAAAAGTGACATAATGAACCTTGCTGAACCAATAAGCAGCTTGATTCAGTGTGGCTGTCCATTATATGATATTCTGTCAGCAATTTATCACAGCTCTTAACATGCTACATACAACTATAAATCAAAACTAGAAACAATGCAATTATTTTATTCTGAACAAAGGTCTTGCCAGAAGTAGATTTGACTGCAATGTGGCAAAAATAATGGCTCTTTGGATGCAATATAGTATATAATGATGGCCAACATGGTCTGAATAGTATATTTACACTAAGGAAATAGATTCAATTCAAGAATACCTTTATATTGCTAAAAACAATCTGTCTTTAAAATTAACTACTAACTGATAAAGTCTAACAGGGATGTAGAGAGAATGTTCAATCATCCTCTTCATCAGGCTTCACTTCCTCATCAAAGGGTTAAATTTTACACAAAAAGTTTTGATTTTAAAGAAGCCTTACACCTTAGTTTCCTAAGTATATCTTTTACTATTTAAAAAAGAACAAGAACAGTAGCACACCTTTATCAGAAATTGCAATGGTAGCCCATTTTACCCTTTTAACAGTCAACTCAAACGAAACCTCAGGTCATAAAGGAAAATGAGTGATGTTTCATCTCATTTTCTGCTTTGGGCATGTCGAACTCAATTTAGGACAATCGGCAGTCTTTGCTAAATGGCTTCTACTCAAATGGCAGCATGTTGCATCCCAACCCTGAGCTGCTATGTCAAGAACATATGGAAGCATGTTTAAGTCAAGGTTTTTTTTTTAAGCACAAAACTAAGACAAGAGATAAAAAGTCGTCTGATCAATTTAAAAATGTGTTTAATTGGGTTTTAAAAGATACAACATATTAAACCTCTAAATATAAAGTCATTTTCAAGAAATACATATCAAATCAATTTAACCTAGTTAAATATCATAATTTCTATTACTATAAAAAATACCTACCTTTTCTGGCTGAGAAAAGGTTCCTGCATTACAAGGAGTTCTAGGATCCCACAACTTAACTGTTTGATCCCAACTTCCAGTAACCATAACATTCACTTCTGGACAATATTCAACACATCTAATAGGTGCATCATGGGTTCCAACAAGGTTTTCTTTTAAAAAAAAAAAGGGGGGGGTGTGGAGAAACATCTAGCTTTATTGCCTCCACTAAACAGATTTCTCATAAGAACAATAAAATGTGCTATTTACAGTACCCAATAAATCAGCTGCAAAAACCATTTCATTGAAGTCTGAATTCAAGAGTAAATTTTGCTACAATCCAGAGACCAGCCCAGAAGTAACTCCCTCTGTTTCCCTCTCCCTATAATCCTATAGCATTTAATTTGTATTACTGATGTGACACCACCACCAGTCTATATGGCAGTAGACGATAACTATAAATCATAAACACTATAATGGGCTATCTTTGTGTTCTTCTGTAGGTACACCAACCAAATACTTGGTTCTCAACAAATATTTGTTGGATGAAATAACTTGGTTCCCCTGGGCTCTCACAAGGAAGTTTCAAATACTAAACTAATACTATTTTTTAAAAATCCTTTGTTTTCTACCTAAATTTTTTGTGGTTATTAGTTTTGAAGTTTTGGGGCCTGGGTCATCAGCATTCTATGATTTTATTTGGCTTTCAAAACAGCTCAACTTTGGAAGATATACTTCCGTTCCAGTTGTAAGCTTTGCAAATCATACATCAAAAGTAATTAGGGGGAACAGAAAAGCTGCTATCAGTTTCAATAATTTCCTGATTCTAAATGAAATGAATCCTAAATGAACTGAAAGCTTCTTTCCTACTCCCCCCAAAATACCATTTTATCATAGGCTGAAACCTTTAGATATTTTCTAAATTGTTTTCAAATCTTGAGACCACAGACTTGTCTAAGCAAATCTGTATGGCTATATGCTAGAATACATATAATCTATAGCATCAAGTGCTACCAAAAGAAAAACAACAACAACACATGCTTGTAGAAAGCATAATGTATTTGTATTTACTCATGAAATATAATGTATTTACTCATATTTTACTCTGTCAAAATACTGTCTCTATCTCTATTCTCCTCTCCCATTTATCTATTCCAGGACCTTCTTTGAAGTACCCAAAAAATCTTTCCTATTTAATTACATGTACCTATGCACGTAAGCATGTGTGTATATATGTGTGTGTACATGTACACACACACACATATACGTACATTTGTATGAAACAAAGAACATTCTAAAAAGCATCAAGCTGAAAAGCTTTGGGGCACTTGCCAAGCTCTGCTACTAACAACACTAAAAGTTTAAGACAAATATTTCAAAATAGAGACCTCAAATTAAGTTTTCCTAATAATAACTATCACATATATTATCACTTTTAAGGTTTGCAAATCACTTTACATATATTATTTCACTTGATCCTCAAAACAACTCTGAAAGGTAGTTGCTATTTTTATCCTCATTTTACAGATGAGAAAACTGAGGCTGAGGTGACATGACTTCCTCAGGGTCAAACAGCTGGTGTTTAAGGCAAGATATGAACTCAAGTCATCCTGACTCCAAGCCCAGAGCTCCATCCACAGCACCACCTAGCTTCCTAAAGTAAAAGATTATGTTATTCACTTAAGAGTAAAATTTAGTGCATTATCCACTTAGTGACTCAGATATAATTAAGGCACATTAGGCTTCTAAAAAGCTGTAAGTATCAAGAATAGGGAAAGGAATAAGACATTTTCATTTCAAAGATTTCAAAAATCTTTTTTTTATCAGAATTAGTGAAAATAAAATAAAATTTGCAAAGTTTCTCAAAATTCTAATAGGATGAAAGGCAATAAAAATGATCCAGATCCATCTAACTACAGAGTCAAAGACAAATACTTGGCAAGTCACGTAACACTTAGGCTGGCACTCAAATTTTATTACTGAAGAAAAAAAGCAGAAGATGGTCAATAATTTAAAAGCCATTTAAACTTTTTAAAAATAATCTTTAATTGTAGCTATTCTATTTTTACAAATACATGTTACTTGGGATGCTATTTTGCTACAATAAAGAACCATCTACATCCTAAAAAGCTTATAAAATCAAGTACCTGAAAATGAAAAATTTTGCCAGCTTACCTTGATCAGTATTCAAATCATGCATTTTCAACTGATGATCCAATCCCCCACTCCAAGCATGTGTTGGATCCTGAAAAATGTTTTGTTGTGTTTTAGTTTTGAATGTATAACACTTCCAACAAGTTTTAAAATCTATAAACTTTAGGATCAACCATGTTATTAAGATAAACTTTGTCAACTGACCATTTTTTTAAAATGGAAGGTAACAAAGCAAACAAATGGGAAAGCATATGGTCAACTATAAAACAAAATAGTTTACTTTATTTACAAATGGCTAGGGGTGGGGGGTGGGTAATGGAAAAATACAAATACTTCCAAAATCTTACTCTAAACCTAGGTTTCTTATGGTGGGATCTCTAAACTTTTTTTATATCTTTTGATAACCATGATTTGATATAATGTATTTCATTTATATGCCTATTATTTTACTTTACATGTTAAAAAACTAAAACCAAGGTTTCTAATGGTGGGATAGCTGAACTTTTCTAGAGAAATATTTCAATAACTGCAATTTGATATGATACATTTTATTTATAATTCTATATATTTTACTACATGCATTCAAAAATACTATTCTGAGGAATATATAATTTTCACCAGATAGCAAGAGAGGTCCATGATCAAAAAAAGAAAAAACAAAGCCAAACCTGCTTTGTTTTTATGGTTGTCTCCTTAATCCAAAAGCATTAAGAGACTCTTAAACAGTATTAAATAACAGAAAGAAAGGTGGACACCCACACCCAATTTCTACAATGATATCTTTGAGATTAAATCAACTAACCCCAAAGATACTTATTTTCACCGTGATGAGGGAGTCAGAAAGGGTCCCTTAAAATAGTATCTTTATCTAAAAAACCTACATAGAAAGCGCAGTCGAGGACGGCGCCAGTGTGTTGGTATTTGAGGCGCATGGTGTTGGCAGGGACATCGTAGAGCCGGACCGAAGTGTCCCAGGAGGAGACCAGCAGGAACTGGGATGTGTTGGGGCTGAACTTCACCGAGGAGATGCCATCTTCTGGAGGCTGGTTCAGCTTGAACTCATTAGACCCAGTCATCTGTGGAATCAGACAGTGGAAGGTCAAACGGGGTCCCAGCTAACGGGGAGAGGGTGGGGGTAACAGCTCCGAATCCGGGCCCAGCAGGGCAGGGGGACTGAAGAGGGAGGACGAAAACGCAGGGCCGGGGCGCTGGGGCAACTTCAAAGATTCGGGCGGCGAGACCACTGCGCCTGCGCAAAGCTGGAGCCAGGCACGCCTTGGCCCCCTCCCCCTCCACACACCCACCCCAAAGTCTGCGCCGAACCTCGAACCCCAGGGACCATCCAAACCGCCTCAGCCAGCACCCAGCTCGCGCCCCCTCGCCTCCTCTGACACCATCCAGCCCCGGGCTCTCACCCCAGCCCTCTCCCCTCGCGGCCCGTCTCCTCGTCCGCTCCTACACAGAGATGGCGGTGGGAATCCAACTGGCTCCCCTCTGGACGGCTCAACCAGCTCCAAGCCCCGAAAGTCTCCCAAAAGACCGTAACCGTAGCCCCTCGGCGCCCCGCCACCTCGCCTCCCCCGGCTACCTTGTCTTCCGCTCGCAGGCCACCGTCCGCTGCTCCTCGCCTCCTTCTTCCTCAGCGTTCCCTTCAAGTAACAATCCTCAACGTGCGCCTCTGATTGGGCGGTTTCAAATGCCAACTTCTAGTTCCAAGTCGCCGATTGGCCGGGGAGGCTGTCTCATGGCCTTCAACCAACACCATCCTGTTCCGGGTCAGAAGGAAGCACAATATCCCCAGGTCACAGGGTTTCATATTCACAACAGTTGAGGAAACTGGCTCCCAACCGCCGCCTACTGTGCTGTCGAAACTACAATTCCCACCGTTCAATAGGCAGTATTGTATCTCAGGCGCACGCGCCCCAGCCCTTGGCGTGTTGCATATTGGGAAATGTAGTCTTTGGATGGTGGAGACAACTTGTTTTGTCCGCGGACTTAAATGTGAAAGTGTGGAAATTACTGTAGGTTCCCCCTTTCCCTTGTTAATATCCAGAAAACCACACTTAATTTCTTAATTGTCAAGTTATCTCTTCACTACCAAATATGACAGCCTTTTTTCAAACTTCAATGTTTTCTAACTCTCTGCCTTCTCGATTTTCTCTCTTTCGTAACACTTCTCTTGGTTCACTTGCTACTATTATCACTCAGACTTCTTTGCTGGTTTTTCAGCCATTTTATGCCCCTTATCTGTAGGTAGGCACCCCGCACCCACCAGCCTCTGTCAAGGGCTTTCTTCTCTCCACACTCTTAACTAGGTGACCTCGTCATTAATTTTAAATATCATCTCTCCCAGAGTTATATATCCTGCCCTAAGCTTCCTCCTGAACTTCTTTCACACATCTCCAACTGCTCATAGGACATGGATGCCCCACAGGCATCTCAATTGTGTCAAAAACATGTCAAGGATCCTTCCCATCAAACACATCCTCTTCCAAATTTCACAATCTCTTTTGAGTGCAGCACCATTTTACCAATCACCAGCTTCATTCTCCTTGACTCCACTCTCTCTCTCACTCCATATTACTGATTGGTTGCCAAATCCTCTCATGTCTACTTCTGAAATATTTCTCATGTCTGTCTTCTCTCTACTCACAAGATTACCACCTCAGATCAGGCTTTCATCATCTCTCCCTGAACAATGATAATAGCCTTCAGCTTTGTGTTTCTTCCCCAAATCACTCCCTTCTCCAATCTATGGTTGACACAGCTTCCAAAATGATTATCCTAACCAGGGATGGGGACCTACATGTGGCCCTCTAGGTCCTCAAGTTTGACCCTTTGACTGACACCAGACTTCAAAGAACATTTGTTCCCTGCCCCTGTAAACTACAGATCTTCCCATGCTGTTCTCCCACTCAATAAATTCCAGTTTTTCCCTACTGCTTCTAGGATCAAATGTATACTCCTGTGTCTGACATTTTGAAAGCCTTTTATAATCTATCTACAAGCTATCTTTCATGCTTCATTATATATTAGTATAATTAGTATAATCTCTAGCACATTGCTCTTCTACAGTTTCCTTGCCTTTGCCCTAGATGTCCACCTTGCCTGATATGCACTCCCTCCTCACCACCTTCTTTTAGAATCCCTTGTTTCCTTTAAAACTCAGCCCTTGCCACCTTCTACATAGTCCTGCCTGATCTTCTCAGCTGCTAGTGCCCACCTTTCCCCCAAATCACTTAATATGTCATGTGTTTGTGTACTTATACAAGAACACAATATCTTAGTGATAGGATGTCAGCTCCATGAATTCAAGGACTGTTTCATTTTTATCTTTGTCTTCCCAGTGCCTGGTACATAATGTAAAATAAATATTTGTTGATTGTGTGAATCTGCTAGATTTATAAATCCTATTTTATGAAGGGGGAGTGGGTAAAGAGAAGAGAGACCACCAATTCCAACTGCCTGGATATTTTAAGAAAGACTCCTTTTTGGTCTGCATTGATTCTCTGAAGTCTCCACTTCCCCATTAAACTGAACTCACAGAGCTCTTGTGTTGGGCCTAAATTAAACTGGTTTCATCCCACTGGAACTTGTCCTGAACATACAGCACTACATTCAGACTCTCTCTCCCTCTCTTTCTTCTCCTGTCTTGCTTTATTTTCTCTCTCCCCTTCCCCTTCTCTCTCTCTTCTCCTATGTCTCTGTCTTTCCTCTGTCTGTCTACATGTCTCGTATCTCTTTTTGTTTCTCTGTATGGGATTTTCCAAGAGGACTAGCACATTTGGTGTGAGGACTTGCCAGACCCTTTTCAGGGCTGTTCATCCTCCTTTGGTGTCCATCTGATTCACCCAACTCTCACCTGTGGCTCCAAGAAGCTATAGCATGAACAGCAACCATTCCCCAGTAAACCTTCTCAGCAGATAAGCTAAACCAGGTTGAGAGTAAGTGACAGGCTCAAACCCATCAGTGAGTTAAAGGGGTTTCTAGCCGAAGCATGTGAAGACTTCCCCCAGTAGAACGGATGGATGAGGATGATTTGTCAAAATGGCCAAGAAGGCAGCTGAAGCAGGCACTGCAGAGGGCTTAGACTGCAGGGGTGGGGAACGTGCAACTTCAAGGCCACATGTGGCCCTCTACATCCTCAAGTCTGGCCCTTCCACTGAATCCAAAATTCACAGAACAAAACTTTTTATTAAGGGACCTAGAGGTCCCACATGTGGCTTCAAGGTGGCAGGTTCCCCACCTCTGGCTTAGAGCTTAGTCATACATCAAAGGCGTCATGGTTGTCCACTGCATCCCAGGCTGTGGCAAATCATCCTGACCTTTGTCTTGCCACTAGACTTTGATGACTCCGGAAGAAAGAATGAGGCTTTATGCAACTCTGCCTTGCTTAAATCCAATTCACAGGAAAGTCAAGACATCACAGTTGATGTCATTGGTCCTCTTCAAAAATGAAAGACCAAAAACAACAACAAACTTTTCTCCACAAACACAAACATTTTTATTCCCCTCAATATCTCAATCTTGGTTTTCCCATTTTTCTGTTTGTCAGGAAGGGATTTGAGGAGATGGCTTTATTATTTTCATTGATCAGAATGATAGACCAAATCAAATCATAGACATCATCTAGTTCAGTCTTTTCCTTTTACAGATGAGGAAACTGAGGCTCAATGAAGTGAATTGGCCTCTAAGGACACAGGACTAGTAAAGGGAAAATTCATCCCACATCTCCTGGCTCCTAACCCCTGATCATTAATCAAAAGGTAGTATGAAGATCATAGGACTGACAGCTGAAAGAGTATTTACAAATCACCTAGTCCCACCCATTTATTTTCAAAGTGATTCAGCTGGGGTCTAGAAGAGTTAAGAGACTTACCCAAAGAAACAGCTATTGGAGGAGGGAAGGTTTGAGGTCAAAATGAACGAGGGTATTCAATGAAATGTAATGTTTATACTACATTCAAACACATAGTGTTAGGTACTCTTACTTTTTTTTAATTCATGCTATAAATAGATTTTTTTTAAAAAAGACCTTTCTGTTCATTACAGTGAAGTGCCTATCTCACAATACTGTTGTGAGGATCAAAATGAGATAATGCATTACAGTGCTTTTTAAAATTCAAAGTTCAATAAATGTCAACTGTCATTATCCTTATTAATATTATTATCATTATAATTATTACTAACAAAATCTGGGGGGACAGTGATTCTCTACTTCTCTTTACTCCAAGTGTGCTGGAGGGTAACTGCAGAATAAAAAATTTCAATCCTCTTCCTCTACACTGGCTCTGGCTACATCATTCCATTTCCTGATATTTTGTCCTTTCCCCACTTTTCTTTATTTGGCTCTATCTTTGCTTTGCAATTCTTGGAATGAATGACACTATAAATTTTTTTCAGCTGCAACTGCATAATTTCATTAAACTGTATATACATTGTTCAGTTATTTCTGAGAATGGGATTTCAATTGAATTTCACTTTAGTTTTAAGAAATGTCAATCCTCTAAAAATCCTTTAAACTCAGAATAGAACTTGGAACTAGGAGGAGGATGATTATTTTGACTATTCAAATATTCTGATAAACAGATGGTTGGGGAACTTAGAAATAATAAAATTTTGAAGAAAAAATTCCAACCACTTATTAAAAATCTAGGCTTTTTTTCATTGATGATTGACTAATTGACAATCCATAACTATCCAAGTTTAGTAAGATCAACACTCAAGTGTTCCCAGAAATGTTCCACCAGTTTTACACTGTTAGATCACCTTGGGCTTCCAGTTTCATGATTAATAGTTAGGCGCAAGTTTTAAAATTTTAATGTAAAAGGAAAATTTAAAGAGTTCTTTACATTTAAAAGCCTAGTTATTATTAGTACGGATGTCTTTATAGTTTCCCTTTAGTAAAAAGTTATTTCCCAAAGGAGTGGTAGGGAAACATATGGAAAGATAAATTGATGCTAATATCTGTCTGGTTCCCTCCATAATCTCAAAACCCTAAAATATTAGGTGGCTATATTATGCAGCATTAAATAGCAGCTGGTGACCATTTGGGTGCTTACTTCTATTCATCTGGTTGTTACACAATGGAATATTCAGAAAATTAATTTATTTTTAAGTTTTGTGCATAAAGAATGATGAGTTCTTGATTAATAAAGAAAGATGGAGTATCTAATTGAAAAACTTAAATCCATATTTTCCTGGATCTTGATTTGTTGTGGGCCCATAGAAGTCAGGAAGGAAAAACCTAATGTTAACTAGAAGTTTGATTTTGTGTATAGTTCAAGAACCCTATTTACATTCTCCAGTGTACTACCAAATTCCCTAATTAAGATCTGATTATTGTATAATAGCACTTTTGAACACTTTACTTAAAACTCCCTTTTGATCCATTTCATTAATTAACTCTTAAAAGAAGGAGTTGTACTACTACATGAACTATTAAGGTCTCTTTTAGCCTTAAATCTATAGTCTATGATCTTACAAAACTTGGTAGAGGAAAATGAACTATGACTTAAGGGAAGGGGTGTCAGATGGCAGCTATTGAACTTGTGCTAGAAAAGGAATATCAGAAAACTAAAAGGTTTACAAATATTATGTAGTTTAATATTATTGTTCCATAAAGTTGTCCCATATTTATCAGGAAGATAAATCTGATTTGTTTCAGTTTGCAAAGGCCTATTAGTCGCATTTG